TACAGAGAGGCCCTCGACCCTGGCCTGAAGCTTGCCCTCACTCTGTGGCATCTTGCCTCTGGGACCAAGTATCACTCAATGTCCTATGGGTGGAGGGTGCCTCACAACACCATATCCCTGCTCATCCCAGAAGTGTGCCAGGCCATCATCGATGAGTACAAGGATGAGGTGATGAAGTGTCCCACCACTCCTGAGGAATGGCGTGCCATATCTGACAAGTTCATGGAGAGGTGGAACTTCCCCCCATACCTGTGGTGCACTTGATGGCAAGCACGTCAACTGCAAGTGTCCTCCAAACAGTGGTTCCCTATACTACAACTTCAAAGGGTTCTACTCCGTTTTCCTCATGGCGCTCGTGGATGCTGATTACAAGTTCATCTGGGCAGACATCGGCGGTATGGGATCAGCATCAGATGCTCAGATCTACAATGCCTCTGAGCTGAATAAATGCGTTGAAGATGGTAGTCTAGGCTTCCCTGATCCCGCTTCTCTTCCCAACACAACCAGGGTGTGCCCTACTTCTTCGTCGGTGACGATGCCTTCGCCCTACGACCCAACATGATGAAGCCGTTCAGCCTCTGAGGTATGACGCGGCCGGAGCGCATCTTGAACTAACGGCTTTCCCGAGCCAGGAGGGTCGTAGAAAATGCTTTCGGCATCCTGGTTAACCGTTTCCAAGTTCTTCTGAGCACGATGCAGCAGCAGCCAGAGACCGTCAAGCTCATTGTCACGGCATGCATGACCGTTCGCTGGCTGTGCGTTGAATGCGTGGTGCATGCGCGGACCATTCGTTCACATTTAACATGTGCGCCGTGTATACGCTCTGTATGCGCCCTGTATACGCGCAGCGCGCTAGCAACACGCTGTGCATTCGTTGTCAACTCGCTAGCTTCTTCCAAATCCTGACAAAAGTTGGGCGCACAACGACGCACTGATCTTATTTTCCATTTTTTCAATGCGCGGGCCGTGCGTCGCGTATGTGTGACTGGGCCATTAGAAAGTATTCCAAACTCAAAAAAAGTTGTACGCTTATTACCTCCGCGCAACGGAGTTGCAACGGAGGTCATGTAATCGGTCTCGTGTGTGTGTGTGTGTGTGTGTGTGTGTGTAGCCTTGGCGCGATCGATTCAGCAGAAGCTCACCTTAGGGCGTCGAGTCAGCAGCAGCTCACCTTAGGGCGTCCAGTCAGCAGCAGCTCACCTTGGGGCATCCAGTCAGCAGCAGCTCGCCTTAGGGCGTCCAGCAGCAGCCAGCAGCGAGCCAGCTGTTATACACATACATGTTACACGCTCGCGGAGGTATGCACTCTCCATGAGTGCCCTCTGTCTAGTTGAGTTTGTTTTTCTTACTGAATTTTGTATCTGAGTGCAGGCACTGGCATTATTTCGTACAAAAGTGATCAGCACTAAATAAACCATACTTTACTGCCAGTAAAAGCTGGAGTTGTTTTGTTTAAATCTTGCGCTCACTTTCTCTTCCTCTCTCTCTCTCTCTCTCTCTCTCTCTCTCTCTCTCTCTCTCTCTCTCTCTCTCTCTCTCTCTCTCTCTCCATTTCTTTCTTTGTCTCT